GTACTGGTATATATATTATATATATATATATATATTATATATATATATATATTGAGTACCACTTTATTTTTCAAAGTAAAGTTAGCAGCTCTTCAATGTTTTACCTTGGAAACACTTTATAATGTGTATATTTAGACCAGAAATTGCGTCATCAATACCACTGATTTTGTCCTAGAAGCTTCTTAACCTATTGACGACTGCGCATCGTTTACGGTCTGGCAAGGAACCAATGAACTTTTCTGGTTTTCCTTGACTATTGCTTGTATTAGTTTTGCTCGAAAATAAGTCAGTTATACATTAAAAATTAAGTACATTAAAAATCTATATAAGTAGCGACAGAGGTGAGTGGAAGTGTGATTCACACGTCGATACATGGTCTCGCGCATTCCAAGACGAATGATTCACCGTGTCGCGGTCGTCAATAAATAAATCTTAACAGACGTGCTACCATAATGTGAATAGAGTCAGTTCATGAAACATGTATCTTACTCGAATACGCTTTTCCTTATAGTGGAAACGAAAATCCATATACCTCCGAGTATTCACTTGAACTGTCTGTAGCATTGTCATACTTGTCATAATATGGTATCGCCTGAGTCGGTACAACCAACACATTACCTTTCGCCACTTTCAATTCGTGCTCATTTTCATTTTTTCCTGAATTTCAAGTATAACAGCTTTAACTTCAACTGAGAGATCGCACCTTTGAAAGATGTGAACTTTCCATGTCGTTCCTCCCTATTAGCATTTACAATCTTCAGGTGTTGCTCATCCTTGTTAGCAATTTCCTTCCTGTCTCTTTCTTCTTTTTCCTTGTTCTGATTGGAGAAGCTTCTGCTCGGCATAACCAGGATGTGAGAATAGAATAAATAAACTACCATGAAGATGTTGCCAACGTTTTCTTAACATGAAATACTATCACTGTATTTGATAAGCGGTTTCAATTCCAAAAAAACAAAGATTTCGCTCTAAATTAGGAGGTTTTTGAATAAAAGCAACGATCTGAAAAAAAGAAATTGTCGTGACATGTACCGTAGCAGGTCAGCTATTACATGCACTGTTATATCGTTGCATTTGTTGCAATCTCAGATCTGTGCAGTTGGATTGCTCCTAAGAAAAAGACTTCTGAAAATCATTTCTTTACAACAAGCACCATTCTAACCGAAATAGCATTCACTTCTGCATCTGCTGCAGCATTAAGCGATAACAAAATGACCACAATCATTAAAAAACCCCCGTGATGGTCTATCGCCTCATCGTGCGCGGAGATGACTCGGGGTGTCGAACTGTGAAGTACAGCAGAGGTTTATCCTCCAGCATGGTCTCTCAAGCTGAGAGGGAGCTTGACGTTTCCGGCTCCCCGGATGCCCAGCTAAGAGTAGGCCATGCTAGAAGCATCAATGTCTGGCTGATTCAGTCGCTGGGTGGGTTCCCTGATCCACATAAGGTCAGCGATTGCCTGTGTGAAAGCTTGGCAGGCCCTGGCAAGGCTCT